AAAGGGTTCAGATTCGAGAAAAAAAAAAGTATGATACGGATATCAGAACACCAGTGGATACGAGAGGCTCTTATATAAAATTGTCTTGGATCCTCTATCCCACATTGGATGAAATTGGGGGGATTGTGTATAGACGATGGCCCTCGAACGGTATGGTGTAATATAATAAGTGGGTCAGTGAGAATGAATCTCGGGGAGATGAAGTCGAAATTGTGCAGAGTCCTCGACGTTCTTAAAGATAAGGACGAGTAGATACGTTCTAAGAACGATCGGTCGCAGAACGGGGTTAACGTCGTTAGGATAATTTGAATTATTTTTCTCTCTCTCTCTCTCTCTCTCTCTCTCTCTTTTACTAATTAGCCACGAGGGTGGCCTGAAAGAGGATATTCGCGATCCCCGGGGGTATACCAGTTTCCACGGGGCGTGCCACTCGTTCCTCTCGCTCTCCCCGACTCCCTTTGTCGACATCCCCTTTTCAAGGTCAGCCAACGGAGGATACGTAGTCATGGTAACGCAAGAGCCCAGAATAACGGGCCACGCCGTTTTCTCTCGTTCTCTTCCTCTCCTCCTCCCTTCTCTCTCTCTCTCTCTCTCTCTCTCTCTCTCTCTCTCTCTCTCTCTCTCTCTCTCCCTTTTAGGTCTATACGCGCATACGCGTGCATGGGCTGCGTACGCGGACCCAGGAGCCAATAACAATTGCATTATTTATTTGGACCATTCCACGCTTTCAAGTGAAACTCACCAGTGTTCCGTGGACACTGTATATATATATATATATGTATATGCATAATAGGAACTAGATATCTCGGGAGAGGCTAGACCGGAAGAATAGGACGCTGGAAAATCCTTAGGGCAATAGAGAAACTCTGTTCCAGTTCCGTCCCTCGAGATCGGGCATTATGCAAGCGGGAAACAATTATCCGGTACAGCCATTACCTACGCCACTGGGCCTTTATCTAGATCCAGTGTTCCGTGTGCGCCGAGTCTCGCGTTACCGGGACAGAAGTTTGCCCGGAGAAAATTACAGGGTGGTACGCCTGCAACCCGCGTTACTTTGATCAACCCGGTTGGCATTAACCGGAAGCAGCTTTCGCGAACAGCTGAAGTTTTGGTATCTCGAAAAAAAATGGGGGAGTTTACATCGCGGCGACATTGTCAACTTGAATCCCGATAGCCTCGCGAGACATAGAAAGCGCCAAGAGTGTCGTGTAACTGTCATTGACGCCTTCGGGAGATGGCGGCACTGTCGTTCTGCCAAGTGTCAAGGTTTAGTGCACCTTTGGTTACGCCGAAATGCGTCCTCGTGACGCCTGCAGTCGCATGGAAACTCCACGTGCTACGTCACACCTGAAATTTATTGTAGAGACTCTGTGACAGGTCGTGGATTACACAAAGGACGGCAGGATATATGACGGCGGTAGGAGCTTCGAACGGACACGCGTGAAATCAAGTGGCAATGCGTCGCGCGATGCCAAATTCACTTTACGCTCTTCGCGTCTATGCGCCCATAGGCGTAGTCAGGAATCTACTGCGACATTGGCGACTATCTGACGTGCGATTTCAAAGGGTTTCGTGCGACCAGCTGTGAAAATCATGAGCGACGTCGGGATACGGCCAAGACGCTGTCATCGACGTCGTCCCGTTGGTTTATACTATAACGATAGCGTCGTCGACGCGTTCAAATACTGTTGACGGTATCTTGGGCTGGGTGGATGGTGGTACCTTTTTTTGTTGTTGTTTTCTTTTAACTGTATATGATATATATAGGAGATGGAGCGAGAGAGAGTGAGAAGGCAGAAGAAAAAAGCGACTGCGTTTATTATGGTTGACAGTGTAGTACGCAGATTGAAGAAATTTAAACGAAGAGCAGAAAGGTGGTGGCTTATGCTCTTTACGGTTTGTTTTTACGAAAACTCACTTTGGGATCGGTCGCGCTCGCAAAATTCATCGCGGTCCCTCGTAAAATCTATTCTCAACGCGGCGCCACTCGCCTGAACCCGATACCACGCACCGTCGTACCGAACGGTCGTTTCATACGTATTCCGCATTTAGGTTCGGTCGCGATATATACGTTTCTTTTTTTAAAAGGTGTTTCTTGTAGATTTATCGTATTTTTTTTTTGACTTACAAATTTCGAAATTTTAGGCGGCCGAGTACCTTACTCCATCGAAATACGGTACGGACCACGCGATCCATATCTTAGATCCTTTGAAAAAGTGTCTGTTCGATTAAACAAAGGAAAGGTGGCGGCCAATCGGTCTCCTTTTCTAATCCTCCTATTGGCTACGGTCTCTATAGGTACTTTCGTACTGCGGCTGCTGATTAGATAGAGACAGGGCTTGGCCGCCACCTTTTTCTTTCGGCCTATCAATTTTCCTATGTCTACGCGTAGTCTATACTGTACGTCGATTAATTGCTATATTGGATGAATAAGACTTGACCGACTTTATTTTGAAAAGGTATCGTGACGTCTGCTTCTGCGTATTTATCGACTTCCTTTTTCACTGACGGCCCTCGATGCAACTGAGTGTTCTGGCGGGATCGAGGTGACGTCGACGATCATGCGACGATCTTTATTGACCCCAGGAGAATCGGTCACGTCGACGAAGACGCATTGACGATTACGCCACGTAAATTGTCACACGTTCGCGAACCACGTGTCACTTGGCTAAGGTGGTCAGTTGTGTGACGAGGATCAGCTGATTCTGAGCCAACCGTTTCAATTCCTGCCTCGTACAGTATTCCCAATTCACCGGGTCACGAACAGTATCGTAACACATGTAGCTTATGAACTCTGATAACTACCACGGAGATCCAACGAATTCACGTGACAAAAGTAACGTCAATTTTTGTATTATTAAACAGTAGATTATTGATTTTTTCGTATATTTACTTTGGCTAAGGTCATGAGGAAATTTCGATTGATTTTAAATTTCCCGCTCTCATTTCGTATCGATAAAAATATAAAATGCCGCAACGAATGACAGCGGCGAGGAGATTTGCCAGGGGATTTTCAGGTTATTCAATTAATCAGGAACGTTTGGAACGCGCAGGAGTTACTTCCGTAACGAAAATAGCTTCTTATTGTTGAATCATTTAAAAGTCCCGCCAAAAATACCTTGTCACTGCTACTCTAAACAGCATAGTAGATGAAGGAAACCGGGAACGACTTTGTGCCACTGATACGGGTTAGGTTAGTTTGGTTACTCACCAGCTAGAAACAGTCAAAGCGAATAGCATCAATCCGATTGTCGTTTGGTATCGATTCGTCGAGCCTTTTCTCGATCCTCGTAACCAGATCTTGGAGGTTATGTTATGTTGGGTTGTGTTTGTTAGGATCGTGGAACGCGTTGACGATGACGACGAAGACGTCGTCGTTTACTTGAGGGAGACTAGACTTACGGTCGTCGGTACGACTGTCACGTCCGTCTCGATCCTATCGCTTCCAATTTACTGTTACGAGTTGTTACGACGCAAATCCGCTAGATCGAGCCACGAGTAAAAGTTTTCGCGACAGGTCTGCCGCCACGAAGAGCAACATTTTTATAACGTAACTAGATAGTTCTAGTAATATTTCCAGTTACTTTTTACGATTAATCCATCCTCGTATTTGCCACTCGTTCAAACTAAAATATAACGCTGAAGAATTGTAGAAAATCGTATTGGCTCTTGGGATGTTTTAAGAATTACCGATAAGAATCCATATAGAAAGAAATTATTCCTCTTCTATCGTTTACACTTAAAAATTGCAAAAGAATATAATGAAATTCAAAATTCACCTTGTTCCAAATTGTGATGTATCTTATACGTATGCTTTATCTACATATGTAATCATATGTATATATGTCAATAGAAAATTGAATATACAATTGTGTCTGCATATGCATGATTGTATGCATACAGAATGATTATAAAAATGATTTAACGCCTAGCTAATCTGCTTATGAAAACCGGGAAAAACTGTCGTGATTAGATTTTTAAGGAGACACTTGTATCGCCACTTTAAACCTTTCCGACACTTTAGAATCGATTGCTCGCCACGAAGCTTTTACACACTCGTAACTTAAGCCCACTTGAAAGCCGAAGCAAGACAACTTCTCTCTGTTCGAAGGTAACTTCAAGTGGTTTAGTCGTGTTGAATTGTAGTCGAATTTTTTTGACAAAGGAAAAATTTCAGCCCAAGGAATCAAATCGTTCGATTAACCAGCACGACTCTACGTTTCACCCAGCCCAGTTACGTATATATAAATCGCAAAATGGTTTCCTAGCGCGTTAAACGTATAAATTATATCCGAACGTATCGCGTTATTTGACCGACGGTAAATCAGTGGTCGCGCCAATAAATCCTCCAATTTGTTTATCGAGACTCGATGCTGGAAGTGGTAATAATTCCATGTAATCCCAGGGCTGATAATAAACGATCCACCATTAGTGTACGAACGTTAATCTAGAGGCTGACGGCGCCATAGTAAATATCTCATCTTTATCCAACGTATGTAAGCTCTTAACTCGAATACTTGTTGTTTGTTTATTTCACGCTGAGTTACGATTAAATTTATTCTTCATAGCTCCTCGCTGTGTCTCTTTCGATTTATCGTGCTCCTGCGACGACGTCTTGTCTCATGTCGGAAGACTGCTTTGACCTGGGTCACGACGACCGAATTTTTGGAGCAGAAGGGTTGACGACTCGGTCCAACAGGAGTTGGCTCATCCAGCTATATCGGTGGGTGAGGCTGATTCGTTTGTTTACGATTTTCGTTAGTCTTATCCGGATTCGGTACATCCCCCAGGTGATGGTGTAACGGCTTTAGGGGTACTGGGTGACAGAAATTGAGCCAATTGAAGCGTAACGATATAATTCGATAGGCGGCGTCAGCTCTTGCTGAGGGTGGATAGATACCAAGTAATGTTGAGCTAGAAGAGAAGGATCGGTTTGAGGTTGGGTTAACAAGATTTCAGCATCGAGTAACGGGGACTCCTATAGGGATTTATATCTGACGCTTATATGCAGTCTGTCGTTTGCTTGAAGCGTCCATCTTTTATTCCCTTTTGAAAATTTTACTCGGTAGCTGAACAATGGTTTTCATAAAAGTGGGGTTGAGGATCCGGCGGAATGAATTTGAATTTTGTTGAGATTAATTATACGCCAGTTTACGAGTTATTGAGATTAATTATATATAGTCTATAGGTCTAAATTATTTATTACTGAATCGAAGTACTTACTTTTGTTCGTCGTGGTTGTTCGTTTGAATAATTGGAATCCTTTCCCGTTGGGACAAGTGCCGTCGTTTTCGCGCTTAAATTCACGCCGTAAAGTGCACAGCTACTCGACGGAAAATACCCAATAGTCGCAGGAACAAAAGAGAGTAACGAGAGGTATTTTCGTCTAACCTAAAAAAAAAAAGAGAATTTCTACCAACATTCGTCGTTCTCATCCAACCTTCTTTCACCCCGTCTATACTTATTGTCAGAACCCTTTTGCTACTTGCCTTTTATCACGGGACGGCACAATGAACAAGCACGGCTCGAGGTTGCATGAAAATGAAGCAGATTCAAGATAGCGTTTTCGTACAAGAGTTGAAATTTATTTTATTTTACCTTTTGTTGCCGGAAATAAATCCCACGAGAGGATGAAAATACGTCATCGAGAATAATGACGGTGAAATTTCTTTCGATGCAATATCTGCACTCTGCATACACAATTGTGTACGTATTTCGTGCTGTCGCCGAAGTCAGGTACTTTCTTGTACGTTTCGATAAATATTTGTAACTTCACTCTAAACTTGTTTCCTCAGTCACGTATCTCTCTTTCAAATTTTCTTACGTAATTGCCGTGTGTATATCTTCGGGGGATTTCTTCTCGTAATCTGTCGCAGCAAGAAGAGACTTCGCTTGACCTTCGTCGTCTCCGTGGGCGGTTACCTTAGGCGTCACGTATACACACATTTCCCATATGAGAAAATAGCCCGACTTTTGATCCGACTGTTTGCGAACTACACATATATTAAACACTGTGAACTTCGTGTATTTAAGGCTCTACTAGACGGCTGGGTATGTTCTACGGACAAACACGCTGCGTGTACTACGTGCCTTTGACGTATGACTGGTGGCGCCACGTACGGTTTTATCGTCAACCGCTTTACACGTGTTACACGGCGCGTCCATCTTGGACAACGGTTAGCCGAACTTTTGAATCGTTGAAATTTCGCATGAGCGAACGCAGTCGGTCGCGAGAAATTTAATTGAAAAATTATCTCTTAAACGATTTACGGCGGTTGCAATTTGTGTTTCTGTATTTTTTTTTTCTTACTCCCGACAATATTTCACTTGTAGGGTATTCAGTGTTTTTTTAAATCTATCTCAGATTGAAGTGATTTTTCGTGGGTGCGTGGAGTGGGTGAAGAGTGAGAGGATGGTAAAAAAAGAGTCGTGGGGGTCGAGGGGCGCGGATTGGGAAATTCAAAGAAACGAGCTTTGCCCAAAGTGGACGGAAAATAAAAGGTAAAAAAAACCTAACGACCAACCCGATAGCCTCTTACCTTTCTGTTTTGCTTTCAGCGACTGGCAACTGCCTTTGAGAGAAATATTTTCATCCCCATCACGGATAACGTTTTAGCCTTTAATACATAACGAGATCGCTATCCGGTTTCGCCAACCGGTAGTATTATTTTGATTAGAAGACATACATATATGCGTATATATACATTTGATATTTTATATCCTCCAGGAATATCACCCTACGCGCCATTATTTTCCTCGACTGTGTAATTCGCGCGAAAATGCTTTTCTAGGGACGCGAATGATCGTCACATTACTTCTGGTATCGTGCCAGTTAGGCATGGCAATTAGGGATGTTTATTTGGTCTGCAGTCATTAATTCTGATTTGTGCAACTCGTCATTTCCGGGGTCCCCCTGTTGGAAACAGGCGGTAGGTACGTTTTCACTCGTTTTACGTTGGCCGTTTCTCCACTTATAAAATCGACGTAAATACAGTGGAGTAACGCGACGGAATTGAGGTACGCAATTTTCGTAGTAAAATTACTTGGTTGTCGAAGTAGTAGGAGCGGTGGGAAATTTTAGGGGTACCTTTAGACAGAGCTAGGTTAAGGGTGCCCTTTACGATACCCTCCCCATTAATGACACCTTTGAATTTCTTACCGTAAAAAGTTGCCTTCACCATCATCTTCTTTTCCGTGGCACCCCCCCCCCCCCTTTAGTCCCGTTTACGTAAATCCTTAAAGCGTTTTACGTTCGGTCGTAAGTTTCTTGCACATTTCTGATTATATAGTCTTTTTGTGAACGACTCGCCAAAATCTAATACGGTCAGTTTTATAAACGCGAACGACGTCTGGCTTTGCCGAGCGGACACGATTTATCTCTCGGTCCGGGACGTCGTCGCGACGCGTCCCTACGAGAATTTCACGCTGTGAATCTTGAAGCGCGCTGGAGGGAAATTAATGAAAAGGAAGAGACGAGTGGTGTACAGCAGTATTTCATGAGCGAGGGGGCGAGAAAGGTGGTTTTGGGCTTAATAGGGAAGAAAGAAAAAAAAAGTTACGTCACAGAGACGTACGTACGTCATTTTCGGACCAAAGACGTAAAACGGAACAAAGAAATGCGCGATCACGGTGGCAGGATTTGGAGAAAGAACAAGAAGCCAGGACGTTTTCGGGAGATTCGCTCTAATAATAAAGCTTTAAAGGCGGAATTAATTAATTATAAAGTAGAAAAAGGGAATTAAAGCCGAAAGGGTAGTTGCGCCATTGTGGTATCCGAATGAAAAGCATCCGTTGTGTAAAACTCGTGGCTTGCTGAATGGCTGTGCGTCAAAACAAATTTTTTTTTTTTCAATCCATAGAAATTTCTTTCTCCCCATGAAGTTTATGAGCTATTATAATTGGAGCGAGAATCGTAGTTTTGATTCGTGATTAAATTATCACTATTTATAATGTACGATTGCAATGCCGCCTTCAGCTCTAAGTCGGCAGGAATAATTAACCTACCACTATTTAATCGTATACGTACGTCCGGGTCACTCCGGAAGACCACATGCACGTGTCCATGTGTAATACCCTAATGGGATGCCTGCGTGCCTTCAACAGGGTGGCGGGTTAACCTAGGCATCAGGCCGGGTACGATCCTCATGAAGGATTTTGGTTACTGACTTTGCCCGGGCGAAACATCCCTATACCGTGCTAGGTGTCATCTTCCACGGTACAGCCGGCCGCGCTAACGTTTTCCACCCGGTTAGTACGTATTGATTCCTGCCCAGCATCCAGCATCCCTACCTTCGTACTCGACGAACCCCTCCACGGACCTTTAAAGCTCCCAGCCCTGCGTCTCTCGACCCTGAACGCGTCTTTGATCGCGCGACGTAACGAGTGGCTAGGACGAGCTCGAGGAACTATAAAAGATTTGCAGATCCCTACCGTATCGTCAGAACTGTCGATAAAGTAGATAGGCGGTTGCTGTCCGAGCTGAACCCTCTTACTTGTACCCTACTTCTTCGCATTTACCTTGCATTGTTTCTCCCTCGCCCTTTTTCTCGCTTCACCCACGTCTCTCTCTCTCTCTCTCTCTCTCTCTCTCGCTCCTCTCTGAACCTCCTACCCCCTCTTTACTCTGCCAGAAAGATTTATAGTGGTAATCAGTAACGCTTCCTTATTTTCGCCTCTCGAATGCCTCGGCGCTACGGGATGAGATTTTGCAGGACCAAGGGTGAATATGGGCTCTTCTAGGTCCAAACGGTATACTCATCCGGATTCAGGGTGACTTTTCATTATATGTTCGCTGGTGGTTTAATTTAGTTTTGAATTTTTTTTTTCGACCTTTTTTTTCCTCACACGCAGATACTATTCGACTGCAGGGTACCAATGCACTGTACTGGAAATTTCCAGTGTGTCCGGGGGTTTGCTTATTTTTTTCTCTGTCTAGCCGCTAGCTTCGCGGAGAACGAGGAATGCGTTGTCACTTTTATTCACGGGCCCAACCCTGTACTTTTAATTAAATATCCGCTCCCTCTTTTGATCCTCTTGCCGCACTCACTTCCCTCGAGCCCCATATGCTTTGCGTAACGAGGACTCTCTCCTACGCGCATTGGCTAATCAAGTTCCCTTTTTTCTTCCTTTCCTTTCGATATCGTCCTCTTACCTTTTTTGTCTGTCTCCACTTTGCTCTATTTTTCTCATTTTCTCCTTTTTTGCTCGTTCTCGCGCTCTTTTACTTTCCTTTATTTTTCTGCCTTTCCTTTTTGCAATATCGATCCTCGCTCCGCCTGCTATATAAATTGTCAACTACTGTGCATCCTAGGCGTTTGCCACGTTTCCAACTTCTCTCGGAATAATTGCGTATTCCAATAGGAAGTACGCATTTGTTGTTGATTATAAATTTCTTCGATTATACCGACTTATGTTATAATATAGGTGCAGTCGTAGCAGTTGTGGTGAGGATTGATAGGTATACTTTTAAAATTGCCGCGGAAATGAGATACCAACATATCTCACCATGCAGCTATAGTGGCGCTGCGGTCGTATTGTGAAGTAAAATTAAACGAGACAGGAATGGAAAAGTTTGTAATGGAATCGAGTTAATCAGAACAAGTTTAATACCCGAATTGCATATCCAAGGTGCACCCATTGTGTGTTCTCTCTAATTCTGTCTTTTTCATTTACAAACTTTCTCTCTCTCTCTCTCTCTCTCTCTCATACGCAAAAGGAAAAAAAATTTAATTCTTTTTTAGCTCGACGAGCATTCTGGATTTTTCTATTTTTTATAAATTTTTCTTTCAGGACATCAATGTATGACTAAATTATTTCTCGAGTAAATTATAGCATGGCTTTAATTTTTTGTGCAAAAAGTTGCCTCCCTTTTTTTAATTTAACGAATAACCGCAGAGCACGCGTCTTTCATATCTATGAAACATTAACTGGATGGCGATATGAGATAATAAAATAAAAAATAACACTTACCATTTCTCAAGACGCGTTTGCGTACGTTTAATGATTACGAGTGATTTTCAAGTAAAGATCCCGCATCGTTATTCATCGTCGTGGTAATTCGTAATTATTCAACGTTAGGAAGTTACATGTTCTGGGGTAAAATTCAGGTGGGTTTTCGTGGCACGTGGGAGAATTCCAAAAGGACTGTAAATTGGTTTCGCGTCGTTTCGTAAATAAATAACGTCTCGACGTTGTGCCAAAGTCTGCAGGAGAACCGAGTTTATTCGAGACAGGGGACGAAGAGCGACGCGAAACATTTAAATATTTCGAAAGCTATTTCGATAAGCGGACAGGCTCGTGGCGATTTTCCAATGGTTGATCCGATCGCATAAACGAAATCGCGAAACGATTAAACTTATTGTCGGTTTAATCTGATTTTCATTACAGTTTAACAAGCAGATTAATTAATTTCTTTAATTACTATTATTCCCCAATACACTACCTCACCAGTAACACAGTGCTGAAAGTCACGTTAATCGCGCTCGTCAAGCATTTTCTTTTTTTTTTTAACCATAAACGGCAGTTCGGCCATTTTGTTACAGTATTACCAAAATTATCGAATAAATTGTGGAAAATGAATTTGGTTGGTTATCACGTTGGTTATGTCGTCACAGGAAATTGTATGGAAAGAATTTTTTAAAAGATCAAAATATTCGAACCCCCTCGAAATCTTCTGGTCAGGGATTTTCTCAGTTTGATCGGGACATTTTGGTTCGGCTCTCAAAAAAGGCCGAACGTAGGAAAATGTCGGTTTTGGTCTGTTCCGTCTTTATGGGCCGTAAAGTGGCAACGGCTGTAGCTGCAGTGGCGGCTGTCGTTGTTGTTTGCCTGCTTAAATTTTCGCCGAGGCGCGAGATTTATCGGGAAACGTGACGCCCATGGACCTTGGAAAGTCCTTTGGGTTCGAGAGAATCCCATTGGGATCTCGAGAATCCCTTTTCGGACAGTTCTCTACGTATCCTATATACAGCTATGTATTACATAGTACGGTTATATACCGAATTATATATTGTAGATGTACATACGAAAACGGTACTGCTCCATTTATATATACGTTTGGCATATATGCCGAGACCGTTTTCGTATATACAGGGTGTCCGAAAAGTCTCAGACATATACCGCTACAATCGTGATGAAATTCTAAAAAGAGAAACGGTACTGGCAAAAATGTAATTTGCCATTAAGCGTCAGCTGATTCGCCGCAGGGTGTAATTAGGGAGAGATCAGAGAATCTCTTATCATGCCGGTGGTTGGCTTTTTATCTCGACTCCTACAACATAACCCTACCGAACGGTTGTCCTGTAATACCTCAATACTTCACACGTCGCTTCAGGCTCTACTGTACTTGGACTTATGAATATTCATTCATCCACATCACGTGGTACAAGGTATCCGCTTGATCTTCTTTTGGAGGAAGATGAAGTCCTTGAAGAACGTATTAAATTTTCTGGCTAAACGATGAGCGATTGAATCTCCCCACGTTACAGTGAAACCCCCTGGCGTACGAACGTCGAACTAACTGTATGGAGAAAATTGTTTTTCTTCTGTACTTGAACAACGTGTCTCATTTTAAATACGCGATTGATCCTGTGGGATTGGAGAAAAAAAATTTAACCTCGAGTCGACGATGTGATTCTCGTGAAACGAATTTGCGAAATTTACTGGCCTGGCTTTCGGTTACGTCTCGACGTTATCTCGTCGAGGAAGGTTATTACGGCACTCAGGAGGCCAATTAACCACAGAACGAAGACACTGGCCATCTGCGAGAATTTAAGTGCCGCTTCCACGGACGTACTGGACTTCCTAGAAGATCCTGTATGATTTCTACTGATCCACCACCGAATGAATCCTGCTTCCGTGAGTTCGCCTATCTGAAAGATTAAAGCCAATGTGTTTAGGTTATGTTGTCTTTTTTTTTTATGCTTTGAGGTTATTCGCGTTCACCGGCCATGGCTCTCTCGTCTATCCCTTCTTCTTGGAGAGCTCTTTTAAAGATGAAGAAAGATTGTCGTCGGTATGACCGATGACCAAGATCCTACTAGGTTACCTTCCGGTTGAACTCGTCTATGTAAGCCGATCCTCGCTGGAAGACGAATGGCGTTGGATAATAAAGAACTGGTTCCTTCGGTATATAAAAATGAACGTTTCCTTTGAATGTCAACGCAGTTGTTGAGTGGAGTTGCGAACGTGATATTGGCATTTGTCACAGGGAAATATACCCGGACGTACCTTAGAAAGAAATCAAGTCAAGTATTAGTCTACTGTGATCTATTTACGACATCAATAAATTTTATCGTAGTTTGACGCTCTACTGTCATTTATAGGTTAGGTTGAGATACTGACTTTTAGATATAAATTTTGTTACGTATTTGGACAATACAATATTCTGGAAATTCTTGTACACCTCTTAGTCATCTGGATCTTTGGAATTGTACAAATTATTCAAGGTTGCCGCGCTGGCAAACGGTATTTTTGGTTTTAGCAAATCCTTGGTTGTCTCTGGCTTCGTTGGCATGACGACGGCCGTTAGAAAACTTACCAGACTGCCGGGGTAGGCGTTGGTTACGATGACGGAAAAGATGATCCACGTTATTGTGAAAATGTTCATACCGATTTTTGGATATTCGTGCTTGACGGATCGGCCGAAGAATATGCTCCGTAGCTCAGGTATCCTTATGGTGGTTTTACTTTGAATTTTAAAGGCGATTAAAATATTTAGAACGTCTGAGAGGTTAGGTTATACAGTCGTTGCAATTATTAACTGTAGAGATACTCGTATAGGGTGTAACACGGAATGACTATGGTGGTTATCAAAAATTAAAACCATACGTCTATTTTATAAGGGTGTAAAAGTTTGCTCCAATTTATCGGCGGTGGGTTTTTTTTTTAATATCCAGACGTATGAGTCAATTGTAAATGGCAATGACAATTCCTCGAGGTACGAACGTTTGGCCAATGGCATTATTTGGCCGAATCCTACGTCGGCTCTTCCGGTTTTAATATCATCGTGAATACCGTTTGGCAATTCGTCGCCCCATAGAGCCGGTGGCGGTGGTATTATTACGGGGGTGAAGTTCATGAGCTTAGATAGGGCATTGAAAATGTCACCCTCGTATCCCCATATTTTTTTTTTATGTGAAGAAATTGTGTGTTGCAATCATTCGAAATTTTTAAGTCGATCGTGTAACTTTTTTTTACCTCACCTTTCTCACGTTGTTATCCATATAAACTTTTACGGCGCTGCCGACACCTAGGGTCGACGCTCTTATGGGACACTGTTGCATGTTTCTCATTTTACGCACGAAAATATTCGGGTTAGTTTTTGCTTGTTGCAATCCTGGATCAGTAACGTGACGCTCTTCCGTAGACATTTCACTGGTTTTATTGGCCTCTAGGAATAAATTTCCATGGTATCGTTGATTTTTGGATTTTGAATTTAAAAGGAGAATTGCATTGGCTAACTGTGAATAGAAAAATTAAAGATTTTTTTATGCCTGAAAATTATAACAGATATTTTTGGAATATATATTACCTTTAATTTCCACAGGTGTTCTGATACCGTCACAAGTTCGGTGTTCGTAAATTTCAAAGACAATAGACATATGACGACTTTGGCTTTATTGCCGATATATTCACGTTATCGAAAATCTGACGTATTTCGTCGAGTAAATGAACATCGTCAAGGAGTATTACATAATTAAAAAGATTCGCCTAAATGAAAATTCGCGTTTGACGTAATTGAAAATCATGAATGCGAATATCGTAAAGTATAATTTTTAGATATTTTCTCATTAGAATTCGTTGATCGGTAAATTGTGACTGCCAGAAAACGGCGGGATTTTTGAACGAGCCTGTCATACCGACTCGCACTATACACTTGGCCACGTTTTCAAAAATATTATCCATGTTCCCCTTGGATCAGCGACATTCGCAGTAATTCTTCTTCAGTACTTTCGGATCCCGTTAATTCGATTTTTTTGACATTTTGATAATGCCAAAAAGACACCCAACACCGTTATCATAATCAGTACGGTTTTATTTCCACGATTCATATTTTTTTTCAATATTTTGAATTTTCCATCAGACCAACCACTTTGTCCATTTTGGTACGACGCAGAGTCGTACTAACAAATTTTATTAGGTTCTGCGATTAATGAACCCTCTTCATCCTTTAATCATAATCTATTATAGATCAGACCTTTGATAAGCTTGATAATTTATTCTACGTTTATTCGATTCACTGTTTTACTATAGAACCGCGTATCGCGATAATCAGAGTTCAGCCTGCGAGATATTAGAGAAGCCTCACAGGGTTTGCCATGTTGTCGGTTTCCGCAATAATACCATTGAATTTTCTGATTATCATAAATCTAGACATGATTCTAGTCGCTTTTCGAAATGAAGTATAGAAAATCGTTGCAAGAGATATAAATCGCAGTTTAGAAAATAAATACGATTATTTCTTTAATTTCACTCCAGTAGTAACGCGAGATTTAATTTATAAAATTTTTTCTCCTTGTTCTACCTGATTTTTATTCTAATCAACTGACTCCGTGCAACTTTCTATACTCGTCCACATTTCCAATTCAAGTACGTCCCAAATAACGCCACTCGACTAGTTATCTTGATTTCTTTTCTTGGCGAATGTCAAATTCATTAGATGTACCTAGGTGCCTACCGTGCATACAGTAGAACAGTAACCGCAACTCTTTCTGCATAGTAATGAAATTCCTGCGCACGTGCTGGTTTTTCTGTGTCTCTTTCTCTTTTTTACGTAACAAACTTTGATTCTGTGCAAAATTTCTCCCGCACTTCTACTATATTACGCATCCGTTATACTTTTATTGATAGACAAGCCTCGTACATGATCAGATAATATTGTAGTTAAATAAATGAAATTGGAGGAAAAAATTGGTTTTTGAAAAAAAAAAATGTATATATACAAAAATGTACTATTTATCATCGTGAGAAAGAATTTCTAATAGGAATGTTATAATTGACAGCATCAGACCTATGCTCCACATGGTAAAGATACTAGACATGTGAATCAACCTTAATGGCTGTTGCGATGAAGTTGCGTTCGATACAAGTCCCGTTGTGTTTCTGCTTAACCACAATTCAATAAATCCACCACTCTTGATTCTCTCTATCTACAAAAGACAAAGACCGGGGAATCCCCGAAATATTTGTTTGACTTTACTAGAAGCAATAATGAAAATACATCATAACTTAGTACCTGCAAATTGAATTCATCAATATAGGGTGATCCTCTTGGAAACGCAAACGTATTGTGATAATACAAAACGCGTTCGTTCATTACGTGAAACTGTCCCGTTTTCTTGTAAGTAATCGTACTCCTTTTTGACAACGGGGTGGCAAAGTTCAAACTCCCATTAACGATACGAAAGAAAAGTGGAATTAGTCTAAAAGACAAATGAGAAGCAGTCATATACATGTAATCAGCCGCCATTACTATTGTAATTAATATCATTATAAAATATTATAAATAATATTTACTTGTATAATGGGACGTTTTCGTATTTCCTGTAAATCTCGTAGTCGTCAGCATCGTCGAAGTTCTTGTAGAAATCTCTGAGGGTGCTAGCACCCCCGAAGGGGATGCCATTCTCCAAAAGTTCTTTGACTGTTTCCACATTACCTGCCGGTATCACGAAGGTTAGTGAATTTGTCAGACTCGCCAGATAAGCATTACTAATGAAGAAGGCGAACAGGAGCCACATTCCACGTGGAATAATCATTCCGTGCTTCTTATAATTCCTCCCGATATCCTGACCGAAGAAATATGCCCAGAGAAACAAAAGATTCGGCTCCACGTTGCTGTGGACAAAAAGTAAAGGTAGTAAGGCAAACGAGTCGACCACATTGAACGGTCAGAAATATTATCTCTCGGACTAACCTGTATTTCGCGCTGCAATAGACGAATACGGTAGCTGCTAACGTGGCGACGCCGAGACAAATCCAAACGTTCATTTTGAACGGTACCAAAAGTTTGTTCCAATTTATTGGCGAGACTTCCGGTAATATCCATATGTAGGTGTCTGTCGTTATCGGCACGGAATATTCTTCGAAATGCAGTCTGCTCGCCATTGGCAATACCTGACAGAAACCGACGTCGGCTATTCCGTTTTTTATATTTCCATGAATACCTGTCCAAGAACCATTGTGCAATTCGTCACCCCACAGTGCACTTGGCGGCGTCAAAATAACCGGTGTAAAGTTCATGGCTTCGGCGAGCGTATTGAAAAGATTACCTTCGTAACCTCTAACCTGCATGTTTGACGTGTCAACACTTAACTGGGATCCAGAACGTTGTTATACGAATGTCTGGGATATTTATGGAAACTCGATATATACTCGCCTTCCTCGTGCCATTCTCTATGTAAACCGTTACCGAACTTCCTATGCTTATTGTGGACGCCTTTATGGGACATTTTGACATGTTGCGCATCTTTCTCGTGAAAATGTCCGACAGTGTAAAAGTTTGCTTAGTACAGTCTTTCACCGCCAGGTGGACACTTGTTGGCTTGCAGATATCGGGCGTAACGGGCCAGTAGGTATAAATGCGAATTGTGGTCTTGAATTTTATAAGAAAAATTGCATTCGAGACCTGTGAAAAATATTATTGCGGTAGATTTATTATTGTTGTATTTTTATTTGATTAAAAAAATTTTTTTGTAAACCTTAAATTCCCAGAGATATTGAGACAACTTTAAAAGAGTCTCTTCGGTCCATGAAGTGGAGGTTATGCATATCACGATATTTTTTTTTCGATCGATATTCTTACGATTCAAAATATATTTTACATCTTGATAAAATTCGGGATCGTCCATCATAATTATAGATTCTGATGATATTCCGTGTTGATGAAAAGTTTTATTTTTTGATACTCGATATTGGTACAAACTCAGATCGTATTTCGATTTTTTGCAAAATTTCCCGAGAAGTGCACGCTGTGCTAAAATCTCATACTGCCAAAATATATCGACATTCTTAGGCGATGCAACTGTTATCACTCGATCAAGACATTTGGACAATCGATCCATGTCGTTTTCTCGATTTTCAAAATTATTCACAATTTTTGATAACGGTCTACGAGCGTCCCATTCGCAGGAATACACGCGCTCAATGAAAATTCGCCAAAGTATGACTGATAATATTTTTTTAAAATTATTCTCAAACATTTTCAAAAAATTATGAAAAAATTTTCACATAAGATTATGCACAGGTACGTCTAGTGAGACTATGTCTTACAGGACACGGACTGGTACTGATAATTTATTTTGAAAAAAAAAATTTCAAAAAGATTTTTTTCCAATAATCGTCTCGCTAACTGATACCGTTTAGATTCTCGCAGCGGACTGAGCCGATTCAACGCAAAGACGGTAATCTGATATATCATCGAATATTAATACTAACGATAAATGAGTTATTCGCATAAATATTTGTAAATATTGGAATTTTTTTATTTAATCGAAAATCATTATCTCGTTAATATATTTTTTTTCGTCGTATGGCTTTGGAGTTAATGGCGGTGATTTTTTTGGAAACTCGAATTAAGCGCCACGTCCTATAATGATTTTATCGAAGTTGCTGATTAAGCTCCGGTAATGTTCCAGCCTTGAACTTTCTCGACTACATGTATACCTATATTGCGGTCTAACTAGTCTCGAAAATTCTCAAAGTTTAATGAGACAATGAGACTAATTAAACATTAACACTAATAGTAATTACGGAAGTGCCATATCGCTCGTGTATGTAATAAAATTAATTTTTTTTTTCATTACAACTAATAGCATTTTGAATTTTTTTTATTATTAAATTAAATCGATCATATTAAATCAAAAGTAAAAAATTCCATTCGCCTCATAATTTTACGTCTGCCAGGCACTCGCGGTACGATACCACATATCTGCTTAGTTGACAACACCTGGAGCTTCTGTGATAATCAACTATTTATTGGACGAAGGTGTTAATTAGTGGTTAACTAATTACCGTGATATATGACAAATGCATTCGTATCAGAGTGCAGAATGGTATACATATAGATTATCAGTAATTAATTAATTTACAAATGAGAGCGATTTTGCATTGCAGATGATAAACTATCGTACCAGTCATTTGTTAATACGTTAATTACGCCCAAGTTGAATGTTAATTAATTAGTCTTAATTATGTCGGTAGTAAAAATATTTAAAAAAAAAACGTGCATTTTACTCACGAGTGGCGGCGCATATATTTGCACGATCCTTGAATTATGTAAGAGCACGAATCGAAGAGTTTTCGCGATACTTTTTTTTTTCCTCTTTTACTTGACCTTTTCAATTCTGCCTGTAGTACCCTTGCTAATAAATAATTGACTTTGCCATCAACGTACGTGCTTCTTTTTTTAATGAGTATCTTTTTTTTTTAAGTTTTTGTCTAATGCAATTTTTAATCTTTCTTTTTCATTTTCGTCTTTTTTCTAGGTGACGAAGGCGAAGCTGCACTGAGCAGCTGGGTTTCGTCTCCAGGATTCCCCAGCCACGTAAGGAAGCATGACCCTTCACTGGGATAAGCTTTCACCTGGGGAGTTTCAGCAGCTCCAGGATTTGGCAGCCTGTAAGTACGGTCCATACTGTTTATACAGTCTGTATAGTGAATCGCTGAAATCCGGATGAATAATCAGGGGACTTGTTTGTACCGAAATACGTAACGAGAAGACCCCTGAATTCAAACAATTCTCGAAATTTTACACATGAGACGTCGTACGGAATATTTCGATTTCGACATAACCAATCAACAAGACGATAGAAATACATACATAAGGATATTGTTTGAACAGCCGATATTTTACGAAAATCCCCGAAGTGATCCGATTGGAATTTCGGAAAATCTGAATATATTTTGCCTTTATAAATTGAAATCGCGAATTCTCTATAGGAAATTTTCACCTATATCTATACATATGTATACGTATCCGTAACATTACAGAGTGGCTTATTTTTGACAACCATTCAAAGTTTGAATTTCAAATATCAAAGATTTTCCGGCCCTTTGTCATCTCTTACGACCGACAAGTCGATTATCACGGTTGAATTCGTCAACGTTTCCAAGTCCTGTTGCATAATTAACATTTCGATTCGACCGAATGGCACGCGTTATAATTGTCCAGCTGCGCACGCGGAGCCAATTAGGGCGCAATTGCATTACACAGTGCAATTTCGCACAGTGGTCGTACCGGGTGGCAACCAGCAGCTTAGGATGGGTTTACCATGGCGAATGGAGAATTTCCAAAATCGGACACGGTAAATTTCATCGGAATTGCCAAATCCTCTTAATCATCCTGGGAGAATTTACAGTCCAATTAGCAAGTATCGATATACATATGTATACAACTGTACTTGCCAATTTATACAGTAAATTCTATTGAGCGACTGCAAATTACATTGTTTTCTTGTTACTTTGATTTTTTATTTTCGTATTTTAAAATTTTTCTTCTTTTTTTTTTTTTTAATCAACGACCAATCTCACGTATCAAACGCAAATACCAAAAACTTCCGATATTGTCCGATCATATTTACGGTTTGTATCTGCCATCGTTCCCAGCTGACGTCCCGATATCGCCATTTTGCCAAAACGTGCGAAACGTGCAACACCACGACAGTTTATCGGCACCCGCGTCACGTCGCGGCTGTTAATAATTTCGTGGATCGACGATCCATCGTCGTCTCCGTCAATCAGACTGGAAATAGTACAGAGCCAAAAATATCGCCGGCCGGTAACTGCATTATGACGTCAACCAGCAGATTAGGCCAATGGTCTCCTATTATTAGCCAATTTATCGCTGTTGTTTCCTCTGCAAACAACCATTCAATTCATTCGATCTTTCCGTCGCTATGGTTACTGCTAACACTTTTTTATTTGATGATATATTCTTTAGGTATAAAGATTCAATGGTGATGTATAACGTTGACCGGGCGGGGGGATGCTCTTTTGGGACGATAAAAAAAGGCTGATACGTCATTGCCAGAAGATAAACGGAAGTACCGATATTACGTAGAGACTCGAGGAACACGGGGATTTCTTGTTGACCGTAATGGCCGCCTCCGTGATCCTGAATTCCGCTTCCATCAAAATCTTCGCGAACCTTCTAGAACCTTCGATCAACCGACTCTTACATAATTTTGCCTCACGACCATTCTATCCGTTTGGTCTCTTTGGAATCTTCACAATTTTTAACCTTTCTCGCTCCACAGACTCCACGCGGAAGCTGCAGGACGTACTCTCGGAATTTTGCGGGACTGCTACCACCCCCGGAGGCATCCCCAAGTACCATCCTGATGGGGTGAGTATTAAAACCTTAATCGACTAGCGTCTTCAAATTTGTTTAATTCTCAAAAAAAAAAGTTTACAGTATTCACGAAAACACAAAGAAAAACGTAACCTCTCTCCACCTTCTGACCCCATAACCTAAATAACTTCAAAAAGTACAAAAATCGTACGACACCCCTAACATGACCATAGCTCTTGCTATATACACATATATAAATACGAAATACGTCATGTGGCCATATAACCCTTAATATACATACCATAGGCCACAGTCATACCATAAAGGCATACCATACAATATCAAACCATAGACCATAATAATAATGACGAATATACCTAACAAATTGACACGAATTCGTAGCAGATAATTAATTTCCTCTGAAAGCGGCATTACCCATAGCCACCAGAATAGCTGAAAGAACGAAACAAGATAAGAAAAAAAAAAAAAAAAAAAAAAAAAAAAAA